TAAACTCCTACTCCTTATGGAAAGGAGTTTTCCTTATGGAAACCCCACCCCAACAACTCCTTTTTGCTGTTATTTTTTTCCTTTCAACAGTTTTAGCTTTCTTAGCCTTTAATAGCAGATGATGCAGCAATGAGAAGAAATAAGTATGATTAACCACTAGTAAAATGTATTTCCACTCCCTCCTGACTTGCAAACACCAAAGTGTTAAAAAAACCTAAAAATTTTGTTATACTAATTTCTGAGGTGGATGCCACACTTATACTTTACCTTGTCACTGTAACACATACAAGTAAGGGTTATTGCCCTAACCTGGAGACTTCCATGCAGTGCTCTAAGTAAGAAATATGTTGTTCCTGCAGTTTTGATAATTTAGCTGCAGCTCTGGCCTGTCTGACTATGCAGCTTATTCCTGATTCATCTTCTGAGCTTACAAAATACCAGATAAAAATAGATTATTGTTCTATCTAAATTCCCATAATCCTTGTGCTCATTAAAATAAAGTCATGTAACTGTTCTTAGTCAGGATTGCACTAATTAGTACAACTGGCACTTCTGACCTTGTGATTTCTACCCTTAATACACTCAGGTTGGCTGTGCTGCCTGCATTAACATACCCAGCATATATAATACCTCCTTACACAACCAAGTGCTGCAGAGAGAAAGGCAAACCAGAAAATAAAGGTCAAGAGCCTGTATGGAGTTCCTCCACATCCTTATCCTTTGGCTTCATTGAATATTTTTGTATTTATTTACATATAACAAATTAGAAATTTACAAATAAAATATCAGGGGCCAACTTTTCATAGATCTGTTAGGAGATAGGGCAGCTCCCCAAAGTGCTCGTGATCAGTGGCTCTGGTTCAGGTTAGCAGTTTGTTGGTTTCTGTAACAGCTCCTAGGATCTCAAAAATTTCACGGAGATACCAGCACAAGCTTAGTAAACTTGACCTCATTTGACTGTTTCTTTTTAAAAGAAAGACAGATTAATATGAAGGAAGCAACTTCCCTGTTCTCACTTTACCTTAGGGAACAGCTTTATCTTTTTAGTCTTCTTCACTGTGCAATAAAATTAAATGTGGGTATTTTTGTGTAGGATATTAAAAACTGTTGGCAGCAAATTTTTGTTCTGTAGCAGCTAACTTATTTATTGTTTGATTTATATGTGTCACTGGAGTCAGGGAATTACTAATCCATTAATAAATCTAATCCTCTCACCATCAGGCTGTATGGATAAGTATTTAAATAAATTATACTGATAGGACAATCAATTCTCTGAATGTTGTAATAAAAAGCAGAAGGAACTTAACTATGCAGGTGATGGATCTACTCCAATGAGAACAGAAATTTAAATAGTTCAGAGAAAAACTCAGTCGTAGTAGACTGACCGGGGATATAAAATCAGGAATGGTAGAGGGGAAAAGCTACATTAGGGTTTGGGAGTTTTTAAAAATCTCTCATAACACAAGAGGAAAGGAAGAACCAATGCAAACCCAGAAGATTTATAAAGAATGAAGCTTTTTCTGAAAAAAGTGGACTTCTGATAGAGTTTCCAAGGGGCCCACAGGACTCAACCTTCCCAAGCTCAAAAACCATCAGGTCAACAAAATAAAACTGAAAAAACAAACAACACAAACAACAACAAACCCTGACAGTGAGGAGGTAAACTAAAAGTAAAACAAAACAGGGATGTAAATTTCAGTGGGCCAGGCCATAAGCCAACTTCTAGTGGAAGGGTTAGGAAGAAAATTTCTATATATAGCAAGGTTATTTGATGCTTGTCCACTCCAGGGATCCTTACAATTTTCTCTGAGGCACTTGTCCTGGCTGTGTGAGGATAATGGCTCAGACATATCTGGGGTCTGATTCTCTATGCAGCTCCAATCATCTGTGCTTATATAAGAAAGGAAGACATTTTAATAGTTACTCCACAGATGCAAATGATTCATCTGAAAAATTGACATTGTATCTATTGCTATTTCTTGCAGAATTGGCGTTTGTAAGCCTGGAGCAGAAAACAGAAATGTTGCATTGAGAAGGTAAAAGCATAGAAAAAGAATTTGCCATCCAGCTGCTAATAAAATTCTAAGTTTCACAGACGTTTGGGCCAAAGCCCATGAATTATTTAGCCTTGTTACCTGCATAATGTAGGTCACAACCTCCCTCTGTAATTAGGCTAAACAGTACCTACTTCTATTTCAGCTCTGTAATAAAACATTTAAGGCAACAGTTCTGATTTCAGGACTTGAGGGATGGAGAACTGAACACATGCCCAAGCTGGGGCTTTCCCTCCCTTCCTCTCCCTGGGCTCAGTTAATTATATTCTGCATGGAACTGCTGCCTCTTCAGACTTCTTTTTTCCAGCCTGGAGTCCATGGTTGACAGCACCTGCTGAGTACTTGCACATAACACAGTGGTATTTTACCTGACCTTTGGAGAAGCTAAGCAGACAAGATTTCTTTCTTCCTCTAACTTTTTCCAGATTAACTTTGTCGCTTTAATTTTCTGCTTGGGGTCTTTTAGAGGTTGTGTTGGTACAGCTTCACTTCGTGTGTGTAAGGCTTATTCAATGATTAATGCCAAAAATCAATCTTGACCTAGATCCTTCTGTCAGCACAACAGAGAGATTTGGCTAAGGGCCTCACAGGAGCAGGTGCTAGAGGCAACCTCTGGTGACTGCTCTCACCTGCAGGTGCTTCTGCTCACTTAGCAAATCCTTAGCTGCCTGTTCTGAACTTCAGGGATCAGCTGTGGTACAAACATGGAACATCAACTGCATCTTGTGAGGATTTCCCTAGGGGAACGGCTGGAGTGAGAAAACCCATCAGTTACCACCTTAAGTGACAGTGGAATCGACATTTAATATTGGAATAAACAGAAGTGGGAGAAATTATTTTTTTACAGAAATTAATCCAGTGCTAAAACTAAGCAACACTGCTTCAGCAAATATTACTGCAGGCCTGTGGGCAATTAACAGATCTTTGTTTAAGACTCTAATAAATACTAAATATTATTCACCTCTGTTTTTGTCATCAGTTTTGGATTAGGAATTTCCAAGAAAAGCAACCCCACAGGATACAAGGTTCAGCTCTGAAGGCTCTTAAAATTGCTTGTCAGGTGAGGTCCTGTAAATCATTTGGCCATGGCTTAACAAGAGCAGAACATGGCACATAAAATGTTCCACTGGTCTTGCCAGCTGCAAGAGAGTATTTAGTCAGAGCAGTGGAAAAAAACCAAAACAACAACCCAAAACCAACCAACCAAAAAAACCCAAACCAGAAACAAACCAAAACCAAAAAGCAAACCAAACCATCAGTTCTGTTCTAACAGATTCTAAGTTTGGCTTTTTCAGTGCAGGAAAATGACAGTCTCATCCAGTGAAGGGAGTTTTCTCTTTCAGGATGCCTGACATCTCGTGCTGTTCAAGGCAGAGGTGCAGGACAGCCCCTACCTAACAGCTCTGGGTTTCTCCTCTTCAAATCTTTACTGATGAGGAAGAGCCAGTATGTCTGCCTAAGAGAAATGCAGAGAGAGGGGAACACAAGAAAAATATCAGAAACATCTTCAGTGTTGCCAAAAGCACAGAGGGAGTAGAAAACCCAACAGCTTTACTTTGGGGGTACACAGTGCCAGGCTCTTCCTTTCTATCTTGCCTTGCCACTCTGAGCCAATATTCAATGTATGGTCTCAGTAATGTTGCAGAGTACCCTCTGCTCCTATCTGCTCAAAGGGTCAAATCTGCCCTTTTATTTACTTCTATTGTAATTATTTACAGCAGAAATGCCGATGCAGCCCTCAGTTGCCAGAATCTCTCAACTCTTGTGTTTTCTGGGATAATTTCTCTTCCTGGGAGCCATCCGTTCCCTGTGGCTAGATGCCTTTCCTTTTGCTCAGTATCAAACATACACTGCACTGACTTGGACCATTCAGCAACATGTCCTCATTAACAACAAATCAGTTATTAAAAAAATGTGTTTATTTCATATAGTTTATGAAAATATTGTACACAGTTGAACAGATCTGCAGAATTATACTAGCCAACTGCAAATGAAAAATTTCCTCTTCAAAAGTAATTCAATATAAATTCAGGTTCTCAAGTGAGATTATAATAAACCAACTCTATTGTGGCATATAATAATGAGCCACATTTGCCATCTGGCTTAGTCCTGTAGTTTTGTTGAGCAAGACCAGTGTTGCTTTTTCCCAAAGCCACACAGAAGAGCTCTTCTGAGGTTACCTTATTATTCACTCTTTGTATAGACTCAGAGTTTGATCTTATTGATCCCTTTCACAACATCCACTTTTTTGGAACTCCCAGGTTCCCCAAGGTAAACTTAAAAATCTACACATCACCATCCAGCAAGCTCCTTGCCACCTTTAATCCACTATCTATCTGTTCTTATCAGCCTTTAGTACTTACACAATAACACCATTTACAACAAACTAGATGATTTATTTTTAAGCAAAAATATTGGCAGCCTTTATTCAGCTGCACCAGATCCCAACCCTAGCTGCTCTGAAATTCCTGATGCACCACTTCTCCAAGCCCATGGAGAAGTCTTAGTCAAACCTGGTACAAAACCAGATTGACATTAGAATGGACAAGTGACCCAAGAGACTTCTTCCTTATTTCACTGAGAGCCTAAGGACATATGGGAAGTTTAACAGATTCTAGCTATAGAAAGGTATTAACAAGAGAACCTTTTTTTTTCCTCCCCCAGGAGATACATATTCTTTGCCTTTGATATCAAAGCAACTGCAGCAGCATGTAACACCTGATGACCTCAGGTGCCTGGTTTTTTTACCTGTAGCCTTTTTTTTCCAGAGGATGATTTTTTTTGTGTTAAATCAAGACAAAAAAGGGTTTTTGTAAACCCGAGTAAGTACACATAACATTCACACACCATTTTTATTTGCTGTTTCAGCTGAAATTAGCAGTCTTCAAGAATGAAGAGCATCCTTTCAAAAAAGCTGAGAGTTACCACAACAGTAAAAATACAGTCGAGTCCTGAGAGATAAAAATTTATTTATCTGATCAGCATGTCATGATATGGTCACAACTCATACAGCTGACATTCTCTTAGCCAAGAGGGATGTTTTTTCTTTTTAAAAATACATTTTTCTTTCCAGCAGGAAGGATTTTTTTAAAACAAACATTTCATATTAGGCAGGAATTAAAAACAATGGCTTTTTCAATATGACAACACAGCTGGTAAGCACTGGATCCCCCACCAGTGTCTTAATATTCAGAGTTCAAGTTTTCCCTCCCGCTCCCCGATTCCCCCACCCCTCACAGAAAACCACCACACAGAAAAACAAGACAAAACCCAGATGGGAAACAAAGAGGTAGACGTCACTACAACCACGGTGCTGTTTTGGAAATTGTGCGAGATGTCTCACGATACTCTAAGGAGTTCCTTTCCCTTTGTTAGATGCTGCAGAACTGGGCCCCAGAGTGAACTCAAGAGGTGACAGGAGCCAAGAGCCATTGCCAGTGAGAGGTGCCAGGGCCACAGAATGGCTGGGGCTGTCTCACCTGGCATTGCTCTGCCCAACTGGAGCTGCTTAAAAACAGATCCCTCTTTAAAACCGTACAGACCTCACAATGACGACAGCCTTGCTCCCAACAAGGCTGGAGTCACGTCCTTCTAGGAGGCCAGCTGGGGTCAGGGGGGCTCAGGTTCTGCTCTTGGCATGCCCTCAGCTCTCAGAAACTTCAAGAAGACTCACTGCTACAGCAACTTGCAGAGGAACTCTGCAGCCTGGGCACAGATTCTAGTGGGTGCTGGAGCAAGGGAGGGCTGCAGAAGCTGCTGCCCCCTCTCCCCCCACTGCTCCACTCCTCCTCCTGCCACTTCTGGCACTGAAACATTTGTCTCTGTCCTTCCTAATAAACAATGTTATCTATCACAAATTAACACTGCAGCTGTACAGTGAACCAAAGCGTTATTTGACTATTTTTGTGTTTATGGTAAACACAGTAAAGGTTGTGTAACCATTAGTTATAAGCACAATAAATACAACCATCAAAGAAAATCTTCTTGTCTATTAAGGATCAGAAGCATATGAAATAGTCTTAATAAAAGAGCAACTCTATTTTTGCCATAGAAAAAAAAAAAACCAAAACCAAAAAACCACCCCCAAAACAGCCCAAGGAAAAGAAACAGAAATGCTGCTTCTGGTATCTGTCTACATTTCTGAAAGACATCTTGGCTGCTGGAAAGATTTTATTAAAAAAAACTCCAATGAAATAAATTCAGCAAAATAATTCCAAACATGACCAGCCCTTTACAAAACCACTGACAGTCACTCCAGGCTTCCACATCCATTTTATCACACTAAACAAAAATGGAGGTTACAGAGAAGGGAAGGAGAAAACTGGAGGTGAAGATAACTGGTATAAAAAAAACCCTGTTCATTATACAATATGAACATAACGGTGGAGTAATTTTAAGGAACTAACTCATTTTAATAGGACAGTTGTTCAGTGAATAATTACTTCATTACCTCATGATAAAATAAAACGTCTAACTTTAAAATGCATAGAATCCTTCTAATGACTTCTATCACAGCCAGGCAGTCTACAGCTCTTACAGAAAAAGTAGAGCTGCTCAGAAGCATTTCTAATGTATGCAGACATTTTAAACCAGAAGATGGTTTCCCTTTTGCCTTTCCCACTGTTGCTTTGTATTATTTAAAAGAAATGTGAAAATTATCAAATATGCAATTTTGCAAAATAACCCTTTATTTCATATGGCTCCATTATTTCCAAAAAATACAGAACCCCAGATGTGTAATTATTTTGTGTGATTGTATCAGATCACCACAAAATCTCCAGCTGACTGCCAAGAGAATGCATCCAACCCTGGGCTCGTGATTTGGAAATCCCAGTTTTAGGTACCTTTGGTCCCAAAATTTACATCAAGGCAAAGTGGAGCAGTTGAATCCTGTCACACACAGTGATCGGTATCTGTTATTATCTGGTACAAACAGGTGAGAAAAGTTAACAGCACTTTATGGCAGTGTCACACAAAGAAAAGTTACATCATCTGCAAACCAAGTGAACAAGGAACAGTACCACAGTGATCACTTTATTTTTACTGCTAGAAGATGCACCTTATTTGTGATGCCAGGGGAGAAGGGAGAAGGAAGCTTTTAATTTTCCAGAAAAGCAGGGTAAGCTGAAATTTCACTTTTCAATATCTGGTGACAGCAACTTAAAAGAAAAAAAATAAAAAGAAGAAAAAGAGACACCACAGTTGCAAGACTCAACAGAACCACATGTGGAACCCAAGTGAGACTGAAATGACGGCACCCTCACCCCAGGGCACTGAAAAAACTGCTTGGCGTGGATGGGCAGGTGCTCTTCACATCGTGGGATTCACAGAGCAGCAAAGCTAAACCGTGAGGACTGACAAAACTTCAACTGTAACAACTTCTTTATGAACAATTAAACACAGAAACCCACAGATGTTTTGTGGGCAACCCTGGCATTGCTCTGTTCTCACTTTTGTGTACAACAGCTTTCAGATTTTTTTTTTAATGGATTTTTCATTTTTGATCGTTTTACACATTTTCCCATTATTTTTCCCCGAATCTAAATTCAATGTGATAAAAATCTGTGATCAACTATATGGTTCATTAACATGACTTTCAATCAAAAAACATTTTGAACTCTCCAGAGGAGGCAACCCATGGATGGTGCAGCAAAATGCCCACTACATCCAGAACTGCCAGAAGGTAGAACCGAACTGCAGCCAACAGGAATTCATGTTTTACAGACTCGCCTGCTAAGCTCCAGATAGTCTGGACCAGCATGGTATTTTTAGCACTGAATTGCCTACATATTGTATCCATTTTATGTTTTTCCCTTCACAGCAAAACTTCTTTTATCCAATTTATTCCATTTCATGCAGCAGCATCCAGGATCATGCTGGGAGGGTCCTTTGGAGTTGCTTTCCAATGGTTTATATTCTGGTGTCACTCACAGCAACTCGGCCGTACGGAGCCACGGTGTCAGGCACTCTTCTCATTTCCCAGTGCAGGCAGGAGAGAAGCCTGGACCTGACACTATTTCCTCACCCTACTGAAACCACAACCAGTGCTGGCAAACAAACATCTTGCAAGAGTAGGAACAAAGTGAAAATGAACAGGACCAGATCAATCAAATGCTTGTCTGCAACATTATTGTGCAGTGCTAATTTCTTGAGGCAGCACGTGAACACTTGCTATTGACTGCAACCCACTGGGAAAAGAAAAATACTGCATTTGACAAAACAAGATGCTCTTACATGGAGTTCACAGGATCTATAAGGAACAATCTCCTGATGTGAGTAACTGCTGTGCAATCTGCTTATATAAACTTCCCTTTTTGCAATAAGTCCAGTCTGTCCTAGCTCAAAATAAAATGAGCTGTACTCTGGGCATCTCTGTGGTTCTGATCAAACTACATGGGGGAGGACAGCAGTGAGTAGCTTGCCACTTGCCTTTTGCAGCTGTAAGAGTCAGTCCCATGGGCAGCAGAAAGAACCACTTAGACAACATTGCTGGGCTGCCCCAATACCTCCCTGTCAAATGGCATTTTAAATACATTCATTCCATCAGCTGAACTTCAGCAAGAGCAACACGAAACAACAAAAAACTCCACGGGTTCCCTCTCTATCATGGCATAACTGCCTCTTTTTAATGGTTACGCCAGAATTCAGGTGCAGAGATATTTATAAACAGCATCTTTCCTCAAACATTAAGCTATTGGCAACCACTGTACTTTGCCTCCAGTCTCCTGTGGAGTCAGGGAGGGAACATACATTTCAGGGGACCCTACTGTGGTGTGTCATTCTGCATCCGTCCCCACTGAGCAAACACTGCTGCACGGGGAGAGGCAGGGATGGCATATTTGACAAGGTATTTTTCCACAAAGCCAGAGAAACTGGCACTGCCTCGTGTTTTGGTATGCTCTTTGCTCCTCATCCCCCCCAAAAGGGAACACTGGCAAGGTTTTGTATTCTGCACACCACCTCCTGTGATTCATGTAGCAGCAGAGGGAGACAGAAGGGGAATCAATATTGCTAGCTCAGAGCCAAAACTACTGAGGGCTTACTTTGTTCTCAACAAAATTACTCTGTAAAAGGCAGTATGCCAACATCTGAAGTTCTGGCTACCCTGCCTGTATTTAGAGAGATTAGTTTTATTTTAGGAACAGTTCTCGCAAATCTGTGCATAATCACATAAACACAATGCCAACCAGACCTGCCAGAAGTACAGCTGTACATCAACATCCTTTCAAAAGGATCCTGCACTACACATCTGAAAGTGTCCTCTGTTCCCATCTGCCCTTCAGTTCAACCCACCCCTTCTCCCAGTAAGATTTTAGCAGTAAAATTTTAGTGGTGAGCTAATTAATACTGCCCTCCATGTAGTTATTCAGAATATTTACCATACTTACTTTTTCAGTAGTATCTTCCTACAGACTTATGATAGCAATTATACCTATTGTTTCTTTTTATGAAACTAGTTTCTTCTATTACTCCTTAGCAAAACATTAAGATGGTTGGCATTGAATTATTTAAACTCTCCCACAAGTGTATTTAGCACTCTTGCAACTAGCGGGGAGAAAAAGGCCTCTATAAACCACTCCAAGGTCACCTTGGTGGGACTGCAGTATACAAAATACAAAGGTGGCTAAAGATCACCAGAAGCACCAGCAGACCTTCAGAAACAGCTACAATTGCTCTGCCTCCCAAGGCGTGACAAACAAAGCTTCCCTCTGTTCCCTAAGTTCTGTCTTTCCTTCACTGACTTTTCACCTTTGAAAGTGCGTTTTCAAAACTGATGATGAGGGTTGAGCTGCATTCTGAACAAAAAGGGAATTTAACCGAGTGACTTTGTATTTTCCAAGTTTTCCTATAACACGAGACACTGGTAGCACATGGAACTCAGAGAGCTGATGGCAAGACCACAGCAGGGATGGGCTGATTCATCCCACGTGGACAGCTTTTAATCACACTGTGATGCTGCAATGCTTGTTTGAGGACCAGTTCCTCACAGGACAGACCTGACACTGGATCTTATTTGGGTGTTGGGTTTAGATCGATGTGTCTGGTACAACAACTGCTGAGTGTGTAGCCACAGACACCTCCACCAGCTCTGTCGAGGATCTCTGACTCCAGCACAATGAGCTGCAATAAAGTACACGTTGTGCAAATGAGGAATCTCTACCACACCAATGCTGTACACACTACTGAAGAGACAAGTTGCTGAATTTTCTGAGCTCTAACTACAATGCCAAGAAATACTTGTGGTGACAAAGCTTTCTTGTCACAGACATTCTTCTACGGTGGTTGTACGATTGCACCTTTTGTCCAAATGCTGAATTTGCTTAAGTGTGGGTGAGAGTATACATTTTTAAAAATACAGACAATTCTTAAAATAATACATCATCAGGTCACTATGTTACTGATCTTCACTTTTAGTGGAGTTTAAAATTCCCCCAAGGAGAGGTAAAAGTCCATCCAGTATTTTCCTTTACTCTTGAATATTCACATTTGCACATACAACATGATACTCATTTGCAAGAGCCTGGATTCCCATTGTGTCCTCAGGTCCCATTCCACTTTTAAAATAGGCAATGGTACAAATACTGAAAGAGGCAGTACCACATCCCTCCTGACAAAAATGCAAATGATTGTATGGCAACCAGCCACAGGTTACTGAGGGTCATCTCCCGAGAAATTGCTTTTGTCTGACCCTGGGGTGGTGGAAAAGCTCCTGCAAGAAAAAAGAAAACACATTTAATGCTTTGCACAGGAATGACAGCCTTCTTTACCACACTGCTTGTCCCAGCAATGGTGCCCACGAAATTAACTGCGTACAGCTCTATGCTCTAATGCTCTCAAATTTATGAAAGATTCTCCAGAAGCCTTCAGGAAACTAAAAAAATCCCAAACCAAAACACAATCCCTTAACTAATAAGAACAGTTTTAATTTCCTTATAAACTTAAAGCATAACCCTGAAAGCAATTCCTTAGAAGCTGCTATCACTGTACTCAACCTTTGCAGAAAGATCCAACTGTCAACTAAATTTTATGTTATTTTTGAAGTTTTATTAGTATCTCCATGATCAAACTGAATGGATGCCATACTAAACTCTACAGCTGTTTGGTGGTGATACTGTACACTGTGAAGAAGCAACACACATACATTCTTTAGGTTCCTCTTGAAAATGTAAATACACACACACTTTTTTTAAAGAACAGTTTCCACATATTGTCTGAATACTCAGTCATACTGACTAAGGAAACATTACAATTTAACATAAAGTTTTCCAGAAATTCTTTACTGACATCCTTGCTTAGATGGGAAAGACTGGAAGAGATTCATCTGACAATAAAATTTGATTTTTCCATGCTTTGACTTTTTCTGACTTGCAACACTAAATTAAATGTGCCCAAATACATCAGAGCTTTATGATTATAGGCAAGCTATTTGCATATATTTACATCAGCATATTAAATCATCTGTGTTACACTGCACTGAGATGCACAATGACTTGATGACATGAAGCACTTTCGTTGTTGTTAATCCTGAACAGGGGATATAAAACTCTGAATATACCATAGAAGATTATGTACTTGCTGCAGCATTATGGAGTCTCAACTTCTCTCAAGAACATGAAATTAATGATTCAAAGAGTAAAGATGCAGCAATGTCAATTTTTAATCTTAGGAACCACACAATTTGGGCAATTAGGTACCATCAGCAGCTTATCTCTGTGCAATCACTGGAGGAACTGCAATCAAGCATTTGAGACAAAGCTTTTCTTCCTGCATGAATGCTCTTAATTAAAAAAAAAAAAAAGAATGAAAAAAAAAGCCTAAAAACACCCTTGATGATCATGCCCCATCCACCTCTCCCTGATAGGTATTTCACACTTGGGCAGATTTGCTACATCATTATTGCCCAGTAACTCACAGCTAAGCTTCTATCTGTCCACTCTATGCTGGATTTGCTCTTCCATGGCCCATGTGTTTTTCTGTACCAACACTGACCTCTGTTTTAAATACCTTTCCTTTTTCCCTGGTAGGTACAGAGAGCTGTCTCTTCCCCCTCTCCCAAGCCATCTTTGACCCTTCCCTCTCCCAGCTGAGTCAAGCCAAGTACTTTTAGCTGTCCTTCACAGAAATAACCCCACCTTCCCCTTAATCTTAGCTCTGATTTATCTGTCCCTCTTCCCAGTTCAATCTGTATTCCTTGACAGGGATGATAGACCTGTATGCAGGATTTCCAGATGAGGTTTCAGATCTGGTACAACAAAGAATGCTTCCATAGCATTAGGGATGCCATTCCTTCCTTTTTCCATCACCTCACACCACTTGGCTTCTGAGCACAGGGAATGAGGAGCACGATGACTTCAGTACACCATCACTCATTTCCAACTGTGCCTCGTTTGTGGCTGGGGCTTTTTCCTTAATTAGTCCCTGAGTGTTTTTGTCCTGCTAAATGTAATCTCACTTGTGTTACTGTGGGCTTCAAGGAAGAGTTCAGAGAAATCAAGCACTTACCAATACAAGTTTTCCACTAACTGCCTAACACAGGACTCTGTTACCTACAGCTATTAACTTGAAATGGTTTTAATTATATAAATGAAGTGCACAAAATGCACCTGTAAAAATGTTTCATGTCAAATTTTAGGCATACTTTTCTTTTGGTTTGATTTCCAGAGGTCTAATGTTATAGGTTTTTCCCAGGTGATTTAAGTTCTTGACACTTAGATGCTCTGGGCTTTGTTTCTTTCTCCATTTTGCTGTATTCTTTTCTCTTTCCAAACAAAAATAAGCCAAGAAAATATATTCTTACCATCGATAATGTCAATGCAAACTTTTTAAGCTTCGTGGAGCATTAAATGTTACTCCAGCTTTATGAAGTAAGCTTTATTAAGAGAGAGAAGTTCCTAAGCAGTATTATAAAATAATAATGATAACAATAGTAATGATTAATAATAATAGAAACAGCCCTAAGTCTTAAAACCACACCCACTTATGACAATGTACCAGGTGAGTAAAAAGCTGCCTCTTGAGCAGCCTCAGGGATTCCCCTCAGAGGCCACCTCAGGACCTTTCCAAGGGGTTTCCAAAACTGTAGCAGCACTTTTTCAGTAGGCCAACTAAAGCAATGCAAGCAAGTTCTCAAAAAGTGTAAATGGCACTAACTTTAAATTATGCTAATTTATGCCTAATAAGGTCCTATGTCAAAGCATTTACATTTAGAATACATCTTTATTAATTCATACTGATTGCACCGGCAAATTAATACCAATTATCCTGTTTTGGAAGTGCATTTTAATGACTAAATCTGATTATATTAATTATACTCTCAGAAATTCTGGACTAGTTAAGATTTTCTGGGTATGACTTAGTTCAATAGCATAAAATAATGGCACAAAATCAGGAACTCTTTACAATCTATTTGCTACACTTGTATTTTTAAAGATATTCACAAAGTTATTTGTCTAATAAAGTCCAATATATGCATTTGGATGTGATTTATATGACAGAGTCTGAACTTTGCCATCAATGATGGCTGAGTGACAGCAACATTTCATAAAATGAAATACAACTCTGGGTTGTTAAAGAATTCTATTAATCTCTTTAAGCACTTGGATTGATAAATTAAGCACTCAAAACTAAATTAAAGCAACCTTTGCAATAAATCATCTCTTAGAAGAAGTGCCTTCATTTAACACAGTTAGGAACTCTAAACTCAGCTGATTTGAGGCACTGAACATTTCCCATCAACAGCTGTGATGCACAGGGCTGCAGATCACAGCTCCAGAGACTGTGTGCCATGGAATCCTCACAGGTCCTTCCAATCATGGATCTTTGCCATGAAATCCCATAGCAGCACGTTGCACAGCTGAACTGTATGCTATGTTTTGACAGCTTCCAAACACTACCCTAATGCTTATGTTGCCTAGGTAATTTACCTTTCCTAGATAAGTCTTTAATCATACTTTTTACCACATACAATTATTGCTATTTTTACTGCTTTTTATCTCCTCATGTGAAGAATGCTTACACATTCTTGAACCATTCTGAGATCCCTGTAAGGAAAGTCATTAGCAAAGCACAGTTCTCTTTGCTAGGTACCATCCTACCTGTTTCATAGAAATGTGTCAAGAGATCCTCCTTTTCAATGAACCGTTGATACAGCCAGTTTGTGAGAGCTTCAGGCTCTGCAGGTACATCTTTCACTGGAAAAATCCTATCAGAGAAACAAACACAAATTGAGCCTAGTAAATGTATTCTGCATGTGGAGAACAAAACTCTTCTGTCACAGCCCACCACAAAACAGGGAGAACAAGACTTTTGTATAAATCTAACTGCATGATTTGCACTCTCTCCAACTCACAGATCACAGAGGCATTAAGCATACAAGACTGAGAAACTCTAGGCTGCCATCCAGAACCACACAGAAGACACTGGCATCATCTCCATCAAATCTGTACTACAGCTTTTGGTAAAAGCTACTAAGATGCTGGGGTTTTTTGTTGTTTATTTTTTTTTAATAGAATACCATCAGACTATATTACTATCCCTAGAAAGAATACAAACCAAGGAGGAATGAAAGAAATTAAAAAATGAGAAAGTTAATTCACAGCTTTGAAGAAACAATTCAGCAGGCAGAAGCCACATAATGACATCACTAAGCATCAATAGCTCTTCCACATCCTAGAAAACAAGCCCTCTGTGCTTTTCAAAGGATGCTGGCAGCCTTGTCTGAAATTTCCAAGGCACATTTTCCACTGAAAACTGACCTAGTACTCAAATATTGCTGCCCTGTTTTAAAAACACCAGTGGAAGAATTGCTAGTGTTTTGGTACTTCTATGCTGACACCACAGGCAGAATTCACTGTGGTACACACACCCTGAAAACTCCCAAATAACCCACCAGACCTCACTGGATTATTTTCAAAATAGAATTTCCAATCTTACAGTAACTGTGAAACCTCCTCAGCAGACCCCCAGCGCCTTTTGATATGTACAAGAACTTACACATCCACTGTGCTGTACTGGCAGGCCAATGCAGAAGAGATTTGTCTATCAACCTGAAAAATTCACACTCTGAAATGCAAGGCCTTTACTGTAGGTTTCTTTTCCAGGTGAGCTCCCACTTAGCTTCTCATTTACACCACGCTTCTATTTTTATTAGTGGATTTTCATTTCATTTTCAATGCAGTCTTAACTGATCATACTGCAAAGAAATTTAAGTAACACCACAATCATCTGGGCAGTCTCTGGACAGATATGGGAATGTCAGAGTAAGAAAATAAGGCCCTTCTGAAGAATGTTTTGTTGCTGTTAGTTTTCAGTATCTTTGCCAGCTTTGTTCATTTATCATTTGTCTTTCCTCTTTTCAGTCTGATGCATGAAAAAATAAGCTGTGAGTGGTGGAGTCAAGCAGCAAACATTGCTCTAAGGAATGAATTACACATCACAGTGCTTTGGCATACAGAGACAACTTCAATACAAGATGAACAACTTTATTTACATGCTATGGTATCAATACAAACTCAGCTATCTCTGTAGCCTTTGCAGTAATTCCACCTACATCTTCCTCACACTGTAGAGTTCTCCATGCTCCAGTAAAGTCAGTCTTGGTAACCAGAAATTAGCAACTGCTATCTCAGAGTTTGAGGGGAAGTCTTTGGCCAAAGACAAATGTTATGAAATGGTGCTTCAGTAAGCAGCTCAAGTTTCCAGCCTGAATATTAAGAACAAAGACAAACAATAAAGAACTCTTTTATCTTGAAGTCCAGATGCTGTACAGAGGTTAAAATTAAACCAAGTAGCAGCAAGTAAAAAACACACCCATGGAGCAAGGACCATTTTGTTGAGGGTAGAACACTAAGAAAGACTTACTCTGTGTCCCCAAAGCAACTGAGCTGCCAAGCACTATTTTTACTCTCTTCTGCCTATCTGCTGTGAAGAGATAAAAGGCTCAGCAACTGAATATTGTGTTTCACAGAGTATTTTTGAAGGACAGATGCTTGCTTACGCACGTTTTAAGAGGGTTCACAACTAAGAGAACGTGTGTTGCCCCAGGACAGAGGTGTAGGGTTACCTGGCTTCACAGGGTCTCCATTATAGACTGCAAGATATTCTTCACCTCTGCCTTCACTTCTCCCTGACCTAATGGGTAACAGCTCTGTTTTGTCAAGAACATTCCTCCTAGTCTGAAAACATCATAGGATCTTGCAAGATACCCATTAAAAACAATTTTTGAGCTGGCATTTTAATGGAGCAGTGAAGTAGTACAGGTGATACCACACTGTGAGAGACTAATGGAAACACTGCACACCACTTCTCTGCTTGAATCCATCCAGGCTCTTGTGTGGATCAATAATACTGCCAGAATGCTTGAAACTCTGGATATAAACTCTGCTGCTCAGAAGTCTGAGAAGCAGTCACTGCTACACCCACTTTGAACAAATATTAACAGACTGAAAAACAACTGGTTTTCCACTAATGCTGCACTGGCTGCCACAATTTAGCAATGGTAAGTGCTAGTGTATTTAGAAGCATTTTCAAATGTATTTTTAGATTATCCAGAGTCATTTTTACCAGCAGAACATTCTTACTAATTAGTGATCTAAATTAGAGATTAAATATTAAAAAAAAATCCTCAAACTCTGGACAGAAGCCCTGTCTGTACTCGGTAAGGCAAAGCTAACCCCCCCTATATTTAAATTAAACATACTGCTAATGCCATGGTTCTCTGCTCATCAGATGGCTCAGCTGGCATCTGTTTTAAAAGAACACTCTCTTGAAGGAGACTGGGTTCAGGAAGGTGAGTGAGCAAGTCTACTGTTACAAAACTCCCCACACAGGCAATCCAAAACAGCAACAGAGAGCCATTGCTCCAACGGGGCAGGGTCATCCCCAGCCACTGCGTGCTGGCATCTGCCAGGTCCAGTGTTAAAAAGATGCAGAAAACAATTCCTTATTTTCAGTGAGATATGTAAACAGGTGTCCACGTAGTCAGGCATGAGCATCACCTTGGCTCTACTCCACCTTTGGCTTTGCAGGATCAGGAATGCCTCTAGAGGCAAAGTTTGCTCATCTCATCAGGAAAATACCACCACACAGAACAGCCAAGGGCAAGGAATAAAGTCAACAGGTAACATCTGAAGTTCCTGGAGTCTTTGAGGTACTTGGAACTTTCTATCTTTTGGGCAAAACTAACCTCACATTGCATTAAAATAAGAGCATCTTTGTTCCTAGTGTGGCAAACATGGAATTTAATAGGACTGGATAAGAACTTGGCCAGAAAATTCAAGCAGAATGGAAATACCTTTTTTTTTACTTCTCAACACAGGAACAGCTGATTTTCTGTCCCCAGGAAAAGTGGGGAAGGGGTTAAAAGCAATGGCAGCACTGGCTGCACCTCTGGGAACTGAAAAGCAATGGTGGAAATAAGGACACAGTTCAATAGGAATCTGGGAAGAATCTTTTTCCAGTAATGAAGCATTACCCTCCAGCTGGAGGTGCCTCCTGGCAGCTGCAAGGTGACAACGGCTGCAGGACACTCCAGGTACCTGACTGAGGGACAGCGACTTCTTAAACCACAGATTTGTGTCTAGTCCCAAATCAGATTATATTAGAATAAATGACAGTCCAGGAAAGAAGAAAGGATTTTGAAAAACAGCAGATGTAACTGTCAAACACATGCTGGCCTATGTGAGAATTGTGGAGAATAAGCTACTGATAGGCTGTTTCTCAGACGACACCAAAGGATTTTCAGAAATACTGCATATTTAGAAACATTTATCTCTTTTAAGTGGTTCTCACTGGAGAAACAACCTCTGATTCTTATTTAAATTCTGAAGTTTATGGCTACCACTTTAAGTACTAAATGCCATTTATCACCTGTCTTACCCTGAAGTTCTGTATTACTCGCTACTCCATGGTATTATTTCCTGCTTCAATGGCTCTGAATAAAGCCAGGACAGTGGAGGCTGTTGGTAGATGTCAGGCACGACCAAAAATAAGTTACTTGCGTAGAAAAGTGCATTAAAATACACTGCCAAACGGGATGCCCTTCTGCAGCATTCATTCAGCAACCACAATGCATTTCATCTTATTTATAGCTCGGAGCCTGGCTTATTTCAATAAATCTGTATCAATGCAGACACAAAAATAGAACTTCCTCAGCTTGTGCCAGCAGCAGCACAGCAAGGAGCTGGTATGGAGAAGAAAGGTGACAGAGCTGGAAGCAGCCTGTGTGGCACTCCATGCACGGCCACCCCTGCGTCAGCGCTGGCTCTGACGTCAGGGCTGCTGCACCACAGTCACTGTCACACAGCCCAGCACTCAAGGGCATCACCCTGCAGGGAAACTAAGGCAAAAAAACCCAGCCTCACACCATTCCTGACTGAGGGGATGCTAAGCACCGAGCCAACTTCATATTTTGTATTTGCAAGGCTCGGGTTTTGGCAGCAGAACTGCAGCACCTAAGAAATTACTGCTAGAGAAACTTGGTGATCAGCTAAGAAACACCAAGCCAATCAGGCTAAACAAATGCCTGGTCTAAAAGAAAAGAAATAAACCCCAAACTTGACTCATGGCACAGAAATGGGAGCTGAGAACAGCAGCCAGTCTGGGGCCTTGCTACACAGACACCAAACAACCCAGCTTCTTTCTGCTGAGTGCAATTGTGGCGAGTCTGGATTTACAGTCAACACACACCACAAAATGACCCAAGCATAAACCTAAAGCATTTGAGAAGAGCAGACAAACCTTTCCAACAGACTCATCACAAGGCAGGTCCTACAGTGATGTCTCTAGTCTGACATGCCTTGCACCAGATGGATTGATATCTCCCACAAAAATCCCAGTGCCATTTGGCCTGGAGGAAGTTCATTACATATTCTCCTATTATATTTCAGAGAACAAAGTGAGTTTTGCAGCACTTTCCAGTAAGTTCTGAGACAAGTCAGTCAGGGTCAAAAAGCTATTCAATAGAGGGGTAAAGTTCTCACACCTTGTGTTTTCAGATTCAAACTTGGCCATTCTTCTTTTTTCTAGGGAAGTTTCTTTTGACATTCTGAGGAAAATCAGGCCACAGCTTAGCCTAATTATGAACTTCTGAAAATTGTGTCATTTGTACTGAAAACTGAAGTTTGAAAAGCAAGGTTCAACTCATTATCAAAATTGAGCTTTTGAAAAAAAAAAAAAGATTACTGGATTAAACCAAGCTTTCTCTGCCATTTCCACCAGCTAGAAAAGCGCCTAAAAATGATAACGTAAGGCTCCTTGCTGTGCTCTCTTCTGCTGCTCCCTGAGCAGAATGAAAAAGAAATAATCCTGCAGCAAAGGCCCAGGCTATGAGGAAAGGAAATCACCAGATTTGGAAGTCTGTAAGGAAGAAAGAGACAGGTGGTGATCAATGGGCATAGCAGAAGGGACTGACTGAGCCACCAGAACAAAAGCAGCTCTGCAGTCTCTTCTGCTCCAGTCTGACTGGCATAGAAAATGTTCCTTTTTCCCCCAGTGCTGTCATACATCAATACCTCTCTCTGGACTACTCTAAAAGGGAATAAGCATGTTTAAATCCTGACTCTTCTTTCATACAGCACAGATGGCAACTGGACAGAACTATTCTTTGCTTTTTCCAAAGGGGTGCTTTTTTCCCTCCTATTAACTCCGTTGAAAGAAATGACATGAGAAACTATTGTGCTCTCTTCCCAGTTATTTAAAAATTATCCTTAAAATCTATTTCAAATGTTATCTCCCAAGACATTCCAAATTACAAAAAAATAATGAGCAAGATTTTATTGCACTAAGTGCAGAAAAAGTGAGGTATAATACCAAGGCAGACAGACTTGATGTACATTTAAAGAAAATTTCGAGGACATCCATGTGCCAACCTGCACCCACCTCACAGTGTAGGTGCCAGGTGCCTCCAGAACTACCAGGACTGGGAGTCAGGCTGAGCTGCAGCCAAAGCCAACTCACTCTGGTCTCATTTCAGAGCCATCACACCCTGTGCTCAGCCAGGGCGAGTTGCTGTGTGATTTTCCATTTGGGACACACTTCAACTGCTTTTACAGGGTCACCCATGACAAACAGAGGTTATTAAAAACATACATAAAGTAGTCAAATAGAGAGGCTTGCCCCTGTCTAAACCAGTGTCTTAGACCCTCTGGAAGAAAATAACAAACTTACACCCAAAAAGAAATAATTTCAAATGTTTTTCTTAGAATTTCAGCACTACAAGAACTTAAACACTCAAGTTCAATGCAAAAAAGGCTACATCATATTTATGGTCGTGATCAAAAATAGCTCTGAATATGCATTTAGAAGCAGGAAATTAATTCAACTTACGTTAACTTACTGTTGTTTTTAAAGAAAGTAATTTTGAAATACTTTTCAGAAGAATTCTAAATACATTCAAGTTGCAATTATCCCAGAGATCTGAGAGAGTACTAAGGTGACCTGAATAAAGCACAACAGATATAATGCTATCTTATATAAATCAGGGTGCAAGTATGTTCACCTTCAGGGAAACTTGGAAGGCAGCTTTCTATAAAAAGCAAGGACAGATTTAAGCACGGCTGTGGAAAGGAGCTCCAGCGAGCTCTGCATCACACAACACTGACACAGCAGTGATGATGGAGAAGGTCATTCCCACTTAAAACTGCCACCCAGGGGATCCACACAAGGATACTTGAAAGCTTTCTGTAAAAGTCTAAAAGCTCTCCAAATTATCAAGAGGGAGTAAGACAAAATAATGTGATTTGGGGATAAAATGCCGCAATTTGTTTAGTATAGGGAAAGTGTTAAAATACTCCTGGAGATTTCAGACTTGCAAATCACTGTAAACTAAAAGCAAAATGCAGCTTCTCTCTCCATCAGTTTAGGTCTTGAGAGAAAGAACTACTGAGGAGAAAAGTTTTAAATAGTCTCCCATTCTAGCTGTCAATGAGAGTTGCAACTTCTTCCAGTTGCTTTGCTCAACTACTTGAAGTATTCTTTGAGTGAAAAAGCTGGCATTTGTCAGAAAGTTAAATATAATATTTTATTAGGAATTCTGTTTATTTAACAACAGTGATTTTTAATTAGTTGTCATCACCAAAAAACAAAATTAAAAAAAATTCAAGTTGGGTTTACCAGCACCTTAACATTGAAGTGAAGAAGATGATGACCCAACCTTCAGATATATTCCCCACAACTCTATTCAACCACAGGACATTAGTTCAAATCTTAAGCATCTGTCCTAAGATACAGAATAGTCACTGAACTTTTTAAGAAAAGATGGGCTGTGCTTAAATAATAAGAGACACAAAAAACCCACTCCCACTGCTACTGATTTCCCCTATCCTGAAATGACGTAAGTGATTTGTGAATGCTTGAGTTCAGTGTGGGAGGAGCAGGTTCATTTCCTACCTGTAATGCACATGTGTCACTGTTGGTTGTCGGTAGCCAAGAATCCAGGTTTGGATGTCTATAGGTTCAGCTTTGGGATATGCAATGGTTGTATCTATCACCCACTGGAGGCCTTTGGATTTGCTCTCTAGGAACAAAAAGGAAATTCCATGTCACTTATTTGAGAGTTATTCAATTTTTATATTACTTCATGAGGTATGAGACACAAAGAAGACCACCAAAAATCAAATCCAGATTTCATTACAGAGCACAGAAATACTCTTACAAACTTCAGCTAGACCTAGATCTTACTTCATGGTTATTTCTGTTGTTCTTAGGTACCAAGGTACACAGAATAGAGCAAATTCACTCACCAGGTTTGAGTACAGTCACAGGACCATCTTGGCCACAAGGTCAGGTGCTTCCCCCCATTCACCAAAAGGAAAAATCCCAGAAGAAACATCCAAGCTACTTGGTCTGCATTTCAAGTACATTTACACCTGGGCCTTTCTAAAAGATCACTGATGGAGCAACAGTCATGCAGATCCCTCAAAGGTTCTTAAAAATGTGAGTTGCAGGATGAAAGAGGAAAAACTCCACATTCAGGTTGTATTTAGAATAAGAAAGCAAGAAACAGAAGCTGGTCAGTTTTCACAGTGGGGAAGATACTGCACCCACAAGGTTCCAGGAGAGGCTGGCACCAGTACATGCTGATATGCTGCTCAGCTCACTTAGAAACTGAAAAATGGATCAAAGAAGGTGAAAATATTTGCTATTGAGTCAAGAGAATCAAATCTGTGGATCCCTTCCAACTCAGACTATTCCATGCCCCTGTATAAAATTTGAATATAGGTTACAACCAGCAACAGTCCAGGTCATAAATCAACCTAGCCATGACCCCTCTCTGGCATGTCTTCAATTCATAGGTTTGCAGCAGGTCTGTAGAGCAAACCAAGAAGGCAGGGCACACTGCCAAGATGGCACTTTGAGTTTAGCCTGTCAATTTTCTTCTCTGCTCTGGAGCTGTCTTGTGTTCGAGGTCACGTTATGCCCAGGCCAGCACAGTAATGCTCACTTACTGCTTGAGACACCAGCACAGCAGTATGCTCACACCACATCAGGCAGTATCTTTAAGGATTTTAAAATCTGACATCAGAAACAGCCACCCGTGGGCAAGAACATATAAGAAGTGTTAGCTTTTAGTACAAACTACAATACTCTTCAAGCCTGCAGCTGAGAATGCCACAAAAGAAATATAACAGAGGCTCAGAGGAATGCTGTCAGTACCAAGAACATGTACAGGGATTGACTGTTCACCATCCTTCTCAATACAAGAACAGACATTCAAAATTCAGCCAAGAGGAAAAGTTTTCATAGCAAACAGAAAAATTATTCTTTGTGTGGGTTGGGGGGGAAAAACTACGGGGAATCTCTTGCTAAAGGATGCCAAGGATGCCAAGAACTGGGATCAAGAGGAAACTGAGTAAGGACATGGAGGGTTAATTAACCAGGCAGAAACCCCCACCTGGCATGGGGAACCCACCACACAGGAAACTGTCAGAAGCTTGGAGAATACGTGGGAGAAGTATGATGTTTGTTTGCTGTGCTCACACTCCTCCTCTGTAATCCACCTGGAGTCATGGACAAGATGTTGGGGTAGACAGATGTGTGGCCTTGCCCACAGTGGCCACCCTAATTTTACAAAAGATCCACCACACACCTGAAGAAATCTGCAGCACGCAGTCTGAGCAGCACCCTGAAAGCCACAGTTACTGACTCCAGCCAGAATGTACATGCAAAGACTGGCTTGGCAAGTTTCGACCTGCATTTAATTTAATTTAATTAAGTGTGAAAAGAAAATTACAGCAATGCTATCACATGTATCTATCAATAATTGTAACGTAAGTGTAAGTGTTGTCTTGATGTCTGCTCATCAGTGGAGCTGTACTGCTTCATTACAAATGCACTTCCCCAACAGGGCTAGACAGCATTTCCTAAAATTCAGATTATGAGTTCTTAGCAGCATGCAACATGCTATTCCAAAACTTGACCCAGGGCGAGCTGCCTAAGTCAAGCTGAAACATTCAGTGTTACCTTCTGGAAATACAGTATTTTAAATCCCTGACAGACATTTGAAATGAGAACTGGAGGCTGCAGGCTTGCCAGCATCATGACAGAGTGCTCATCAAGTCTCTCTTAAGAAAAGCACTAACTACAGAGTGCTTCATTTTAAAAGTAGCAATGAATCAGAGAAGAGCCAATATGAAATTAATATTAAATCAACAGAAGTATTAATTTAGAAAAAGATCTTGAAACAAAGTCATTCAAGTTATTATTTTCCCAGATGCAAAGCAAGAATGGAGAAAGACAAGTAAATTGCCAAAGTTAAATTGCCTAAGTGAGTAAGCAACAAAGATCATTAATTGCAATTAAAAAGTGCCAGATGAATATGGGCACATTTTCTTATTATTTACAGTAAAGTGTTTCAAAATAATTTATTCAATATTTAGCTGTATTTAAAGCTGTTCTTTCAGTGGATAATGGTTTGCACTTCATTAAGGGAAGACTCCTGCAGTTCTCTGCTGTGTTGATTTCCTACCTTCTGCTTTTGTAGAGAGCTGCTGGATTCCTCAGTCCAGCTCCAAACTCACCTCCAAACCTTTTCAAGGCAGGTTGGGGGGAAAAAAAAAAAAACAAAAAACCAGACAGCCCACCAGAAACCTCAGGCCAGGAAAAAAAAATTCTGATAGTAACATCAGCCTCTAAAGACCTCCTTTTAGAGCAAGCAGGTGTTAGTGCAGCTACTTCCACGTGCTCTCAAATCACAGTATTTGTGCATGCTCTGGTTTAAAATAAGCCTTACATAATCATCCAAGATATATGACTGCCAAAAAATCCTACATCACTAAGGATTCAAGAAAACTAATTCTGAAATACATCTTGCTAACTTTTTTTTTTTTTGGGTGGGGGGTTTTGCATACTATGTTGCGACCTGCTCATAAGCAAATTTATGTTAAAGCCAGGGAACTCTGACAGACCCTGCAACTGGAAAAGAAACTGACAACTGCACAGAACACAAAGGAGTGGTACCTAAATATCTCCAAGGATGCTTTCAGGTGTAAGCAGACCTTTGACCAAGAATAAACCCTATTATTTTTTAAATGGAGCACATTAACAGGAGCTCAAACCAAAGACATGAGTTATAACACGGTGTGAATCTCAGGTTTGGCATTTGTACATGAGAAATCAGGGAGCTGCATATACTTGTGCTCAAGAGCTCCTCTTGCCCAGCTTGGCTTGGCCAATTCAGCCACACCTTTCTGACAGCCAAACTCTTCCAACCTTTCTACCTACCATTAAAAGACACTCTTATCTTTCATTTCTAGTACTTGCTGAAAGACTGAGCAGCCTGACTGTCAGAGACTTCAGCAGAAGAAGCTGCTGCAGAGGCCGTACTTAAACTGATCTATCCAAGCACTGTTTTGGTTTTTTTTCTGTGATGTCAGTCTGCTTGTCACTTCCAGCACAGGTAGAAGATAAAGATTTCTCAAACTGCTTGAAAATGTTAACAGTCTGATTCTTTTTAAATAGCACATAAACCTCCTGAACATGCCCACAGGCACCTGCCCTATATAACAGCACCCAAACCACTCAGCAGTGATGTACCTTAGTGTGAATGGTACATACCTGCCTTATGAGTGCTAATATAAAACTGAACAATCACATGGAACAGCAGCTTTCTGGCCTAGACAAATGAAATCAAAAATAAAATTTCAACAGCTTCCTAACTTGTTTGTTGTTTGGAGTTTCAGGGTTTTTTTCCAAATCATCATCAGAGGCAAATCTTCACACCTATTTTCTTCACTGTGGACATAGTGATATAAAGTAGCTCTCTATTTACTTAAGAAACAATTTATCATCAGAGTCTTCAAGGCATTCCAGCTGTCATCCTCTGAAGTCCTTTCACAGCAAATACTTGACTGTCTACAACCACGAATTTATGGGGATTCAGAGCTTCTCTTCATTCCCCCCCTTTGTCCTCCCTGGGGTTATTATTTCCTGGGGTCAACTCATGGTAAACACCAGACCAGATAATGTACAGAACCCCTCAAACCCACCAGCAGAGTGGCAGCATCTGCCGCTGAGAAAAAACAAATCAAACCCCCGTGAAAAAAACAAATAGGTTTCAGCAGGAAAGCTTGCCTCCAGCTGAGCTCTGGATGGTGTCACAGTGCCAGACTGGATTCAGATTGGGAAAGAATGCACCAGCCAGGTGTGGACCTGAGGGCTGCAGCTTGCACTTGAAAAAGAAAGTATTAGCTAGTGCTCAGCAGTGTTCAGGTGTGGTTTCCTGAACACGTGCACGGCTCTGAATGCAGCCAAAGGGCTGCTGGCTCTCCCTGCACAGCAATCCTTTCTTCTAACTTGTCCTTTGTTCTCTACTTGTCCTTGTGTGATCAGCTGGATCACTGACCCCAGAATTAACTTTTTTCTCCACAGATTAACTCTCAGACTGAAGACTTGACTCATCATTGCAAGACCTTGACGCAACAAACCACCTGGAAGAAAACAAGAAACCTTTTTTCCCAGGGGGAAGAAAAAAACAACCATCAAAAACTTTTTCACACGTTATTCAAGTCACATTCATCATGTAACAGTGAATCAAAATGTTTGATTTTTAAAAAATCAATTAGGAAGTTCAAGTGAAAACTGAAATTCCCAGAGAAACACCATCAGAATTGAATGTACTCTGCTGCATTTGAAAACAGTAAAGTAAGATTACAGCATGGCTCTAACTAAGCTCATAGCAACCTCTTATCAGACAAAAAAATTGCTGCATGGTAAAATAAAACAGAATTTAAAAGAACACACTAGAGCAAGTTTGATCAAAAATAAGCTCTGGAATGTGCATCTTTGAAGAACAATAGCTCCAAACTCCTTTGAATTGTCAGGTTTTGGCATTCAGAACATTTTGATAGTTCCAAAACTCACAAAATCAATTCTTATCAACTGAAGAAACAGCGTATTTGCAACCATGTAAAAGATTAAATGTTGTGCTAAAAAAAAATTCCAAAAACTGTGAAATACTCCTGTGAACACACACCTGGGTCACTACAGGGTTAGGGTGACGATGGCTATTCATCAAGTATTTTTATACTGGCCGAATTTCTATTCTGCACTAAAACCTTCTTCTGGTGCTGGCAGCAGTGCTGGCCCATCTGTCCCATCTGGACGCTTTCATCAGAGACCAGAAGTACCTTAAACTCTCTTTTCAGGGACACCACTTAGCTATGTTCTCTCTATTATTTAGCTTCAACCAGTGGTCATGCTATCAAATGACTGTACTACCTTTCCTACGTTTTTCCACCCTTCTATTAATTTAGGAATACAATTACATAATTTTGTTAAATTAAACAAGAGTTTCAAAAGGCAGTCAAAGCAACAAGCATTTCATTAGCATTAATTTAGTATTTACTAGCAATAAGTTAAACTTCACTTCGATGAAGGCTGGTACTTGGGTTTTTAAATATGAAAGAAAAATGTTAAGAGGAAAAAAATAAGACAACAGAGGCTGCTTATCCTGGAAAAGCCACTGATAAAGAACTGATCAGTTTAATACAAGAACTATCAAACAGTATTAATTGTCTAGCTCAGGAACATTTGTTCTTCCTGTCACTTTACAGAGGAACAATCAGCTACTAAACTGTGGGAAGTTCATTACTACTATAAAAATAAATTGCAAAGGGGATTGGATATTAAGAATACTAGTATCATAACTAAGACTAATGAATTTTTGGGGTGGTTACTGAACCTTGCACTTCTCAACACAAACCCACCTCTTCCAAAAGGATGCCATAAATCACATTAGAGACCTTACAGCACGACAGATGATGCAGCATTGTACTACAATTAGCCCAATTATTGAACTAGGACTTGAAGGCCACAGCTTCAGTGACATGTGACATACAGAAGCAGCTGGGCTGAGGAGCTGGGGCATGACACAATCAAACAACTGTATCTGACTTGGTTTGTGTCAAACTGTGATAACACTGTATTAAGGACGAACCATCTTTTATTATAGCTGCCTTTGTCATCTTTTCTTCTTTCACCCAGTTTTGCAACCCAGTTGAGAAAGCAGAATGGCATCAAATTTACAACGGTGTAAAAGCTACAAGGATCATTTAAAATGAATTAAGTACTAATAAAATTACAGCAGTCAAGAACAGAACTGTGTATCATGACTCAACATTAAAATAGCTACCCAGGAAACTCAACAAGACATAATTTTTGATGAGGAGAACTCAATCTATAAACCAATTTAACTAAAATCATGTGGGAGAGGAAGGTGAATTCCCATGAGTATCAACAAAGCCTGGTGGAAACAAAAAGACAGGGAGAATAATAAATAACAGAGTAGAAAGCTTATTATAGTAAGCTGAATAATTTGGCAAGCCAGGACTCCAGGAACATTGTTAAGACAGTACAGAGCACAAGAAGTGATGCAGATGAAAAACATGTCCAGCAAACCGTGACGTTCAAGTGTGATGTTTCTGATGAAGAAACCACTTCCCAAGCAAAGGAGAAGAGCTATAATGTGCAAAAGGTTTATAGGCAGTCTCTATGCAAGCCACTGGCAAAACCTTTCTGCACTACACCTGGCTCTAGCACCCACAGCTCAACAAAGGTCACCTGAACAGGAGGGAAGCTTGATTTCACTGACATGGGTTATTCATGTGATTAAAAAAAGGGAAAAGATAGAAGAGATTAAAAGTAAAGATATTCACTAACTTTGTTAGACTTCTAACTTTATAATATAACCATAGCAATTTATACAACTATATTTCATTCAACTGAACAAACATTTTCTGATATGTAAAAAGACCAATAAAAGCATTCAGAAAGCAACAGATTAGAGGAAGAATCTCTTATACAAGACACAAATCAAGAACTAATATTCATACACTTCTGAAAGGAAAGTTTTGCAATGCCAGAAACAGTTTTGTGGGCTTAAAAGAGAGGACATAAAATACTTCCGTGTCACTATGTATCAAATACTACTTTTTCCTAGCATATAAAATTTACTTTTTCTTCTCCATCCTTTTTAGTACATTTTCAAGCCCATTACTATGAAACAGTGATAGCTAAACCCACGCATTTCATTCCTATTTTTGCCCAATTATCTTTCCTTGAGTAGGAAGGACAATATGGTTTCATTTTATTTCTGAGAGAATTCCTTTATTTTAGTACCCAGTTAGGTCAACTACTATCAAATGCTCATTTCTCTAGAGTCTGAATGATGCCACTCCAAGAGGAAAAAAAAAGGAAGCCAGATTTGATGTTCAGCTAGGCTGATTGCAACCTAAGAATAGGAAAATATAAAATTGGTATTTGACAAGCACTTTTGGTCTCCCTCCAGAACCAGATAACTTAAAATTGATTTGCAGAACTTCTTCTTCTCCATACCTTTTTAAGACAGCAAGGAATAGAACAGGAACAGGCCAACCTTTTCTCCTCAAAAAACCCCAAACTTTTTAACAAGGACCAGGGTATTCAGTTTCTCTCTTAAACCTAAAGTGTTTTACAACAACAAGAGCTTTCTTCAGCCTTTCTTTTTTGAATGTTGCCTGATAGGAAACACCCTGATGCATTCCACAGCTTCAATTTTCAGCTCATTTTAAATCCTACCTTCACTTCTGCAAGAACATAATCTCAATTTATTTCCAATGCTGACAAGAGTAACTTCAAAACTAAAAATCTGGAAGCAATTTCTGTACAAGGGTCGTTGCTAACCCTGAGATTTGAACTTCAGACAGAAAATAATCCAAAGTCCTCTGCATATGTGGCTTCATTAGTAAGGATCTTTGTTTCAAATTGTGAAATGATTATCAAAATTTGGCTGTGGAAACACCAGCACCACCCATCAATAAACTGTGACAACTCCCCAATCCATTGTTTCTATAATAAGTAACAGAAAACCACAAGGAAGTTAAGAAAGATCTAATCCTGCTCTTGAACCTGCCAAGAATTTTAAAACCTGAGAGACTAAAGCACCATGTCCCATAACTACAGACATTATTTATATCCCAGCTATACCCTCCCCTATAGCCCAGGAATCCCAGAACAAGAATGCTGCAGGAATATTCTTATTCTCTCGTAGCTCTTCTGACATGAGAGCCAAAACAATCCTTCAAATCTAGTGATCAGTGACTGTTAACCTCAGCAACAATGGGGACAGGCAACACAAAGACCTGTACAAAACAGAAGAACTTGAACTCAGTGGAAAATAGTTCAAGAAGAGGAATAAAGTATACAGCAGTGGATGCAAAAGAAACTTTTAAAGCCTGGAATAAAAATATGAACATAGCTAGCATATTCCAGAAATACTTTTACTAAAGTTCCATGCTGCCACAAACCAGTGCAAACCATCAGTCTTGCTGAAAGGAGCAGATCACCTTTTTGTTCACTCTGGGTGCTTATTCCAGTATCTGCTTCTCCAATCATATGAGCCAAGCCAAGCACTCAGGCAGCCATACCACAGACTAAATCAAATTAAAACCAAGGCGGGCTTTTTGTCTCAACATCAAAAATAAAGTTAGCAGAACTATAATTATGAAAACATTTATATAAACTACATTATAAATGTACTTGACATTTGAAGACACCAATTCTATACAATGTTTCTCTTAACTCAAATCTTTGACATTTGCTTTATAACCACATAGTGATCTTTACCTTTTCTCACAGCATCTCCACCTGATGGAGTTCCATTTTCTTGTGGTGCTACAAGCGTTTTCAGAATTACTTGTGTTGCCCCAATTCTTGGCAGGGTGACATGTTTAAGAAATGGCAAATCGTTTTTCTTGGCAAATGCCTGGCTTGTTTCTCTTCTTTTCCTAAGAAAGCCACCCTCTGGAAATAAAACAATCCATTTCCGATTGCGGCTCCTGTAATATTTTTCTAGATGTTCTTTGAGTAACACAAGCTGCTGTTCACGGTGTGTTCTCCCCTGCAAGGATAAAACATTATCTAAACAAGATGATTGCTTAAAAGAGATAACATCAGGCATAATTATTGTATTTCTAAGGTTTCTCTCTTTTCAGAGATAAAAATAAGTCCCTGAGACAATAAAAAGCAGTGTTCTTCTCAGAGTACCTACTGCAGGCCTACAGACCAGGCTTCAGCTGGTTAACCACAGACCTCACTCAGACCTGCCCTGCTCCAATGACTCACCCATTTCTCCTCTTTGATGCATTAGGACAACTTCTTCACTTAAGAACAGTAAGAAATGTCCTTAATTACTGCAGTAATATCTTCAGGAACAATCTTTCCTCTTCTCTACATGCACCAAGCTACCCAAATTTTCAGAGGAATCTCTTTACATTAATTAGCATTTTTGAGTGCTCCAAAGTGACTTTGTCAAATCACTCAAAAGACACAAGAGGGTAAATTTAAAGCTCTCCTCAGCAGGGGTGATTTTAATTCTCTGAAATGTCTACAAAAATGCCATAAACATTGCACTGTTTGGTGGTTAGCTGGGGTGTTTTTTTTTTGGTCAGAGGAAGGAAGAGGGAAAGGGTGGGGTTGAATGAAAGACTATTTTACTGAAGGTGAGTTTTGTGAAAGTGCTTCTCCTACGTTTAAGTCTCACCATTGCAATTACTTCTGGCTTACCATATGAGAGGGAACGAAAAGGCTCTGCCTGCTCATATTAATGCAATTATAAAGCAATATGAAAGTCCTCAGTTAAGCCAGTCCTTTCTTATCAGACCACGGGAAGTCAGGATAGCATAGTAGTTAAGCAAAGAGCAGTGAACAATAACCATGCAAACGTTACTAGAGCCTTGCTAGAGTTAGGCAAAGGACCATTACTCACTCCCATGAAGTATTCTGCCACACCCAAAGGCCAACAGCCTAGAAACATTTTATTGTCGACTGGCTTATCTTTAGACTCACAATGACATCAGTGTATCTGTGATGTTGTCTGTGTCAGCCACTTCATAAAAATGAGGAAAAGCCTTAGTTTTTGCAGCTCAGTGATGGTTTGGTTTTGTGACTCGAATTGCAACCCCACATTCAGAAATAACAAACAAGGTGACAGCCCTTTCGTACCTCAAAATGTGCATATTGTAAATTCTACCTATTGGAACAGATTCATATTTTACAAAGCATCCAACCTTGCTCCTTCCATCCATCCTCTCACAGTACACAGCTGTGTGTCTCTAGAGACCTTTGGTTTATCTAATTTTCCCTAATGCTTTCTAACTATGCCTCTAGTGCTAGTGAGAAATCTCACTTCAGCTGTGTACTGCTGTGATTAGGCATTTCTTTATTTCATTCTGAGTGAATTAACTGCTTTTCTGCAATGAGAAAATTCATCAATTCTCTCTGAGACATTCTTTCCTACTGCTCAAATAATAATTAACCTTCAAGAATCAATTAATTACTATTTACACAGGTCCATCACCACCTTAAAATGATCCACTACTATGGCAACATCAAAAGAGATGGTCCTGCTTTTCCTGATTTGAAATTTTGCAATGAGAACACTGACTTAACCAGACAGACTCTGCATGGCTTCAAGGTCACTAAGGAAAGCTGAGAGATGTGCTCAGAAACAGAGATAAAAAGGACTGCCCACGAATTTTGCTTGTACACCTCTCTCATAATGGGCTCCCTTCACAACTGGATTCCATAATCATTTGTGTCTATGCAAATAATAAAAATAGCTTGGAAAAGGAAGTAGCTTCAGAACAAAGACCTTCCCAAATATACATTTTACTACTTTACAGCATACTTATTTCATTGTGCAAACCAACCAGGAGATGATAAGTAAGTCACATAACACCACAATGTTCCAAAAATAAGGATAAATCAAAGCACTATTATGTGTTTCCATTTACCTGTCTTATAAAGAAGTCTCCATGGATTAGAGACACAATGCCAAAGTTTGTGTACTTAAAAATATGATCCATCAGCCACATCATCTGACGGACAACCTGAAAAGTAAAAACAAATTTTGAAAATGAGTGAATTATCAAGTGCAGAGAATTATGAATTACGTATATAGTGGTCACATTCTTGTCACTCTTACAGCAGCCATAAAACTAGAAAATAAATAAAATAAGGTCCTTTGTGCCCAAAATATAAAGCAGCACAGGTGCCATGCTTCTCCCTCGAGAGTAGGGTTAAACAGCTGCCTTTTTGTTATGTAATATACAGTTCTACAATATTAGCCATGGCAGAGCAGCCACATGTATCCCTCAGAATTTAACCAAATCCTGCTGCTTGTCCCAGTCAAGCAGCACAGTGGGAAGGCAAAAACAGAGGTTGAGCCTATCGATTCACTTGACCACCTCTTCTTACAAGATAGTGAAGGCAGCTACTTCATCTGTTCAGTCCTTTGAGATTTAAAATAGGAGAATTACTCCCAACAAGGTAAACAACAGAAGGGAAAATCATCTTTTCTCACAGGATCTTTTTCCTCTATCTCTACTACATGTAGTTTTTGAGAGGGGTAGGAAGTGGCTCTCCAAAACTGGAAAATCCAGTGTCTCTTACGTGCTCCCAATCCTAGGCTAGGCTGCCTTTTCTCTTCCCTGTGTTATGAGGCCACATCATGACTGATGCCACTTCAGTGAACCTGAAGTCACGTAGGACAGTACTCTTCCATTTACCACTATCAAAAAAGAACATGAAGGCCTGTGACATTTCCCTGGTGGTCACACGATCCTTCAAGCACTTTCTGCTTTGCGTCTTTCTCACGCACTTTGAGGCAAACAAAAGAAAGCAGCCCAAGAAATAAAGATAATATGCTGGTCTCCCTTCCTGTCTGCCAGTGGAATTCCTTACTAGATGTTACACATCCAAAGGACCAAAGGCACACTATGTATATGTGAGTGACAAAAGAAAAACCAGTTCCTAGATACAATTCCTTACTTGAGTCTAGTGTTGGTGAAATGGTTTATCCTACAGCTATCTCCAGGCCTGTGTTAAAAAAAAGTGAGGATCTTAAAGCCGAATTCTTCTCTGCAGACATTAACATTCTTTCCATTTCAGTAAATTAAAAGCTTTATGGAAAAGAAACAAGAAAAGGTGTGCCCTAAGGACAAGAGCTAGAAAAAGCATCATTCAGAGAGCATCACTCTTCAAGGTACTACCATGAGCTCATGCCCACGCAACACCCAAAGGTGACAGGCTGGTGTAAGGAACCACATCCTTTGATAAAAACACCACCAAAATTTCACTAATGATGACTTAGCCTGCAGCAGTACTCAGGCCTGCCAGTGTTCATCTACTGCTTTGGCATTTTGACAACTGTAGTTCTGTTGTATCAAGCAGAAGTTAAACCAACAATCTATTTTACTGGAGGAGGTAAGCAAGCTTAATACTCTGCTTTGCTGGAAAGAAAACGTGTCTTTTGAGAGTCAACACTGGTCCCAGATGTTCTATGGCAATCCTGGATGAGGAACTCTTGCCCAGCAGTGCTACTACTTCTCCCCTACCATACTACTCAATACTGCCTTTTTCTTTAGTAGATCACTGCTCTTCAGAGTCTGAAGTCCATCTCACCTTGTTTTAGGTGACACAGTGCTAACTAGCACCCCTGAGCTTCCTCAGTCTTTCTGAGGAGTGAGGAGATTTTATCAAAAGTAAGTGTGACACGCAGATTGTAACTAAGACATACACAGTCTGCTGTGTGGGGGCTGCAAAGAGAAACTTCAGAGCCCAGTGATCTTAAATCTGCCTGTAAGCACAGGCAATGGTAAGAAGTACAAAGAGAAAGTATTTTTATGTATGAATTAATATATACACATACTAACATACCAAATCAAAATTGCAGTTCAAAGAACAGGACACAGTTATCTTGTCTGCATTCAAAAGGGAAACGAGACTAATGGATATTCATTTTATTTTGCTACCAAGGGCAGAATAGAGGAAACTGCAAAATTTTATTGGTAACTCTTCTATGTAGTGACTCCTCTATTTAGTACCCTCAGGAATGAAACAACACTTAGGAGATGAGCTTCTTACCACTTGCATTGCAAAGAGGTTTAAACAAAGACATTCAGAAGTGTTTTGAACACAAATTCATAGTTGCTGATGGCTTCAAAGAACTTTTGGATGCCACTTCAGATCCTTTTTCCTTCATGCTTCCTGGTTAAGTAAGTTCAGAAACTAGAAAAAGTTTTTACCAACTATATAAAAAGAAAAAAATCAAGGTGCCTCCTAATCACCGACTCCCTTTCACTACATAGATTTCATTAAATAATGTGGATAGACTGATTTTCATGTATCAAGCCCCTCTAAGTTAACAATGAAACCCAAGAAAGAACGACTTGAAATCTACAGGCAAACCACTGCAAGATGCACTTTTGTCTCCACTGCACCCTCCCTGGCACTGCTTTCTGTTCCAAATCAGAAAAATACTCCTGTATTTATCAGTCCTAATCCAGTCAGAAAGAAGTAATAGCAGCATTTTAACCTACTTCTTTCTGTTAACCATATAACCTTCAATATTTAAGAGACCATAACTTACTGATTTTTTTTTAACTCTTATTTTCACAAAGAAATTGGAATAATTTCTCAAACTTTAATAAAAGGGTAATGAGGTCACTTATTGTTTACCTGAAACTTTGTTGTTTGGCTTATATTATGGTATAAATTATTAATGAACCAATGCCAACCCCAGTCCTTCCACCAAAATTCTAATTTTTAGTTAAAGTTCCACTTCTCTAATAAGAGATCATTTTTTTTTCTTAATTATGTAACTGAATCTAAAAAAACCAGAATTATCTCAGCACATGTATTTTATCTTACTGCTTTGTGAGATTAAATTTACTTAAAAGAGATAGACTACACTCTCACTGGTATATAAGCATTGATAAAATGCTAGAAAAAATTACCATCATGGTTCCTGACACCACCCTTGGGAAACACTGTCAAGTTTTAAGACAGTCTCATGAGTTTGCCTCACTACACAGAAAAATCCAGAAGTTTAAATAGAACACTTCTGATGTTTAAATTGACTTTTTTTTCTTTTTTTTAAATCAGCATTAAACTCTAAGCACTTGCAGATTACATCTGGTTTTGGTCTGTACTGGCTGGCAGAAGCAAGCAAAAGTTCTAGACTGGCACAAGCTAAACCTTCCTAAACAAAAAAAAAATTCTTGAAAATTACGATCGTGATGACAGATGAGTTATCAAGCTTGTGAAGGACTCCTTGTAAAGTTTAAACTGGATTTAAGGAAAGCTGACCAATTTAAGCATTTGCATGCTGTATAATGATTATTTATGGACAGGTAGGCTTATTTTTTTTCCTCCAGTACTTTCATATTCACACTAAGTAAAGACTCTTTAGAAATACAAAGCATGCTATTTAAAAGCACCTGATCCAGCAAGTTCTAGCAAAGATAAACTATCTTGATCTTTCTCATTATTTTCAGCCACCTGGACTACTCATGCTGTATTTTAAGCATCTATTGAAACTCACATTGTTTTATTTCTTTGTTAGCTAAAAACATCAAAGCCTGGACATGTACTAAGCTCTGGACATGTACATTCCAAGAGCAATGACTGCAACTACTTTAGGGAAAAAATAATGATTTTAGGGATTTTCTGCTTTTCTGAAAACATGCAAACCTAATAATGTCCATGAAGATTTGTGATCTCAATGCCTTCCTCCATTTTTAGCATCTCCTACATTCACTGAAGCTTATTCTGTCTTGACTGAAATGTTTAAGCTATGAGGTCAAACGGGATAAACATGATTTAGATTTACATCTATAAACTAGTGGTCAATATCATATGCCATACATAGCCACAGAACTACACCCTCAGTCTTATCTTTACCACTAGATTGACCTATGTGCAATTTTGATGAAGGGAATTAAAAGAGTTTATTCTGTCATTCTACTCATTTGGGTACAGCACAGAATACCATATATACCAGAAATTCCCCCAATTCCAAAGAAACAAAAGAAATCAAAAGCAATTTTAAAACAGCCTGCTCAAGGGAAGGAAGGGAAGGAAGGGAAGGAAGGGAAGGAAGGGAAGGAAGGGA